TCGAAACGTTGACCAATAAAGCGGTTCAGCCATAACAAACCTGTACGGCAAAGCAGTATTAAACATAATGCCGATGGTGTTTCGTGTTGAAAGGGATAGGTCGGTTTCAGAAGTGAAGACGAAAGGAAAGAAGTGGAGAGCGTCTTCGCAATTTGTGATGTCAAACTGCTGTTGATGGAATGATGGGAGGTGAGGCCAGACAGCCTCTCTGCGGCCAGCCATCGCCCTCTTTTAAGAGAACACTGTTGTTGACATATTGGACCCATTACTTCAGTGATGCTCGTGATCATTTTTTCCAGTCAGTCATGTGAGTGGGGAAAGTGTTACTGACAAGACGGCACAAATTTCAGGGAAACAGGAATGAAACAACACCGCTCAATTGAGCGCCGAGTCAGCGTGAAACGTTGATTTAATCAACGCCTTTCAGACGGGGGCCATCCAATCATCCTCATTTTCACAGAATTTTAAAGCTCATTACAGGCCCAGCATAATTAGGCTTGTGTGGTAGGCCACTGACTGAAACCCAATTACTTTTGCATCGAACACTTTCCCAAAGTGGATACTGTTCAGAGCTACACAGAAAGGAAAAATCGCTTGTGGGCAATCAGAAGGTCTAACAGCCGAGTCCAGGTACTGGAAGTTAGGAGGGTTCCGTTGTGTGCTGGGAACTGTGAAGCTGCCCCAATAGACGAGCGTAAGAACCTGCTCAGATCTCCTCGTTAGGACCTACGAAGTGGCTAGTTACTTAGACCAAGAACAAAAGTCAGAAGCAGAGCCATTTCTTTCACGTGCAGTGCCACTCTGATGATTTCCCCCATCTTGTGATGTAAGCTTTTGTCTCGCTAGGAGGAGTTCGATACCCGAGTAAGTATGCTACCACCCAAACAATTAGATATTGCCAGAAGTATCTTAAAATGTAAGCAAATTGACATAGAAGAGAAGGCGGTCAAATCGAGTTCCTTTCTAGAACTGAAAGAATGAAAATGAATTATGATGAGAAGATCTAAAGGATGGAGGGCTGCTGTTCATTTGTCCCTTGTCTTATTCCCTCAAGACGGCTCTAAATGGGAGCAAACTTTTTTTCAGGGAGCGGTGGGAACAAGAAAGTTAGATGATCTCAGGTGTTAGGAGAAATTTGTTCGAAAACTTCGGGTTCGTTTATAGTTTGCGATTGACACGCCTGCAGCGGCCATATTCGAATCACGGGTATTGATTGAAGGAGGCAGTGTGTGGTCGGTTGGAAGGTCCATCAATCACGACGCGTATGAGAACTCGAATATAAAGACATTCTTCTCTTTTAAAGAACCGAATTTAGTACTACACATTCAGAACAGATGACCCGGTGAAATTTCAGCTTACAGGTAATAAGCTCCGATCACGGTCTCCGAGCGCTCAGCAATGGTAGATTTCTATTGTATCAATGTACCACAATATCAGTGATGTGGTCAATTGGCCAGGTTTGTATGTTAGAACCTCACCTAAACTATTGCGAATATCTACAAGGTTATACAAACCCAAAGAACAGGCCAACAACCCTTCAATTCGTTCAGGGTCGTTTATTTGTTATCAGACTCGTATGAACGATGAAAACACTGACTTATACATCAGCTGGCTACAACAAAATATTGTAGGGGTGACATACGCATTCAAAAAGCCACGACGATTCTGAGTGAGAGTTGATATGGGGCGATCCCAAAGCGGGATTGATCGATAGCAAAAGGCAGAGACTTCAGGCTTATTAGAGGACCCTAGGATATCAATGCGCCCATAGTCCCATTGAAAGGGACCAGCAAACGAGGAGCGCACACCTTCTTCAAGGAAGGCTTGTTAACACGAAGGACTTCAAACTTTGCCAGTGTCACAACACATTTTCACGGTGAAAAAAGAAATGAAGTTTAGAGGAAGCGCAAAGCCCACCAGGAAAGAGTTTCTTGTGAATAATCTATTTTGTGCTGTGGCTGTTCAAGGAAGAATTTCGGGTGAGCGAAGTGGGGTGTGATAGTCCGCGAGACTGATTTTGTCATTGTCTTCCATTTTCCATATAGCCATTACGGCTACATGGGTCCTAGAAAGGTAATGAGACCGATAGAGCTGAACAGCATGCGTTTGCAGTGCATAGCAAAAGCTGTATGTAGGCTGCTTTCAGAGTCGAGCTGCGCCGCAAACGCGCCGCCTTACGCAGACGCTCGACGCTTGTGATGAATCGATACCGCGGCTTCGATGGTGCAGCCGACGTGGTTAGGCGATGTTTATGATCGTGGTCAACGACACGGCGCAGATTTGAAAGCGGCCATACCATCGTCTCCATGTCAGTGCCAAAACAAAATGGAGGTATGCTAAAGCGTTTTCGAGGAAAAGGTTCGATGGTACTTTATTCTATTTTATTTGTTTTATTCT